GCCTAAAAATTATTTGTCACGATTGAATTATTTGCCGTTAAAAAGACGCTACATCCTGATTATTCCAAGTGAAAGTGACTTCATTGTTGAGACATGTATATTTTATAGTGTGTACATTATTAAAATTAAGTTACTGAATAAGCCACAAAAGACTGGCACAAACATTTCAACAACAGGATTTATTACATATTTTTTTTAAAGATACATCTGGAAAGATTTAACGCCCAAAAACTGAAAACTATGGTTGTAATCATGAAGTGTTAGTTATATCATCATAAATGCATATCTACTTATTCTTTGATACTTACTTCTTGAACGAGAGTGATAAACTTACACAAGTATAGCTTGCAATCTCTATTTTTTTAACTCCACGAAACAAGTTTTTTTCACACAATACTTATATTCGCATAACAATCAATTTTTAGAATAATTAACAGGCTTAATGTTTATATGCCATCTTATTTTTTTACAAGACTTATACAGCTGCATTTTCTAGAATTATTTCGCCATGTCAGTGTAGACGAGAGAGATCCTTGCCGTATCGCAAAAAAAAAAAAGAAAGAAATCATTCTTAGGACATGCGAATCAGATTGAAGCGAGCGGCTTCAGTTTGATGCAAATCGATGACTATGAGTTTCGCAATTTATATCTTCGTAGAGGATGCGAAGCGTTCAGTAACTCTTTTTGGACTGTATCGCGGATACGACATTCCTTATGAACTGCTTTGCAGAGTGATCTACAATAGACTACCTGTAACATAATCGTTGCATATTGCTTGTATCGATATGACGAGTCACTATAAAACGCATTATCACGTTACTTCTTAGCGAAAAGCGTAACAGTGCCTTTATTGAGAAGATATTACCAATACGGTTCACCATATGACGATTCATTAATACATTTCTTTGCTTCAAGCCGACTCGTATGTGCTTGATACTTTGATCGTGAAACATTTCTCGCCTGCATTTTCCTGGGAAACCATGGCATTCGATTATAATTAACGATCATGCCTTCCAGTCATACATGATCGACAAATATAAACGCGAGACCAACGAGGAAGCAAAATTATGAAAGTTCCAAACAAAACACAGGTGTTCATTTACATGTGACGTAATTTATCAAAGTATTAAAGTAAAAGCCCGTACGAGCTGCAGCGGATCGAGAATCAAATCACAATTTATGTCGCAATAGTCTGCGTTAATTGCGCAAACATATATTATATTTCAAAATTTTGTATTGCATTATTCAACATGTAATTAGTCATCAAAGAATAACGCTTTACAGGCTCAACTCCAACGTGAAAGTGTGTTACTTGTTTGAAAGTCTGATCGTTTAAGTTAAGCTCTTGATTTGTCACTATTATAATATTGCCTAAGTACCGAGCGCTACGTTAAATAGTATACTAATTGATTTAATATGTTTTCTTGCTCTTTTCCTTTACGTAGGAGTTTTTTTTCAGTCACCTATTGATATCGCGCAAGTTCAGACTGATATATATTTCCTGTTTGTATTTCTTGACATTGTTTAATCTAGTCATACGTCATTTATAACTGTAACACTTATGTATCATGACTCCTATCACGCTGTAACATAAAATACATTGTAAATAAATATATAAGCTTGATCCTTTGATATTTTTTATTAAAAAACGAATCGCTTGAAGACGCTACTTCCATATCGAAGACTGATGAAATTCAGTTCCATAACTTTTGAGTTTCTAGCTTATT